CTTCAAACTAATCACTAAAATACCAGGCTAGAGGGGCTAGGAAGGTAGCTCAGTGGTAGAGCGCTTGCCTTGCATGCATGAAGCCCTGGGTTCGATTCCTCAGCACCACATAAGCAGAGAAAGCTGGAAGTGGGGCTGAGGCTCAAGTGGTAGAGTGCTAACCTTGAGTTGAAGAGCTGAGGGACAGTGCCCAGGCCCAGATTTCAGGCCCCACAACCGACAAAATAAATAAATAAATAATAAAATAAAATAAAATACCAGGCAAGAGGTATGGCTCAAGTTGAGGAATATTAGCCTAGCACCCAAGCCTAGCAAGAAAATGTTTAGCTCATAATTTTAGGGACATGACGTCCACATTTTCTTCTATGACCATTTTCTTGTCATTTATTGATCTTTTGACCCACTGTCTAATAAGTTCATGGTTTATTGATTGAAGTCAATTCCTTCTCTTTACTCACACAAAACTACCAAAATTTTATGAAACAATTATGTAATTAACAAAAATAAGTGAAGAGGTTTGCTGTAACAATAAAAGAACCAAATAATATAGGCTAACTGGGTATATATACCATTAAAACAAGCGACAGTACTTGATTAACACTAGTATTCTGAATATTGCTCTACTTTTGGTACATGAATATTTCCAAGCTTTGAAAAATAGTTTGCATTTTTAAGATATATTATTTTCACAGGTTAGATATGTGTATAAAATTGACCTTTCATTTAGTACCCAAGCATTCATTATGTTTTCTCTGCACAACTTTTCTATTTAATAATAGAGGATGTTACTTAAATATATCCTTTGCTAATTAAAACAACCTTAATATGTATTTGTAACCCTATTAAAAAAGAAAACGATTTTCCTGTTCTAATGTTTAAATTCTCTTTTCATAAGTCTCTTTCTCTTTCCTGTTTTTAAACAAATGCCTCAGGGACTTACATCTTTAGTTTACTAAAGCTGGACTTGTGACAGATAGTTTCCAATACCCAGAACTTGAAAGTAGACAGGAATTATAACTTAAAATAAGAACCTTTAATTTTGTTACAATCAAGCTGTCAGTTTTGTCTGTAAGATTTCAGTGTTTCATTCATAAGATTAATATACCTCCACAAAGCAGACTGCCTTAGGCACCATAACTTTGCCTATGTATTTAGAAAGCTTATTAAGAAAGAGAAAATTTGTCTGAAGAAATCCATCAAAATGTGTCATTGAGTTTGTGCAACAATAAGAACAATACCTGTGGTTGTCAGGGTAACCACTTGCTTCTAATATCTCTTAGATATACATCTAATTGATGTCTCTAGTTCCTTGACCTTTCTGTTTATTGAGCTAGCCTAACAAATAAATGAATCATTTTATTTATTTTTTCTTTTTCTTTCCAATATAGTGTCTTCTATTTTGTTTTCAGCCTCTTTAGAGCCAAGTGGCTTAAGGTATTTTGCCCTGAATTTCAAGCTAGTTCTTCCATTTTAGTCTTTGAACCTTAGTTTGTTTTCCTTCTTTTTAAACCGGAAGGATTTGCTGGCTCTCATGAGTTGGTTATTATATCAAAATCCAATAGAAACTTCTCTACCTTTCACTCAGTCAAAATTAGTTTACGTGAGCCACTTCCATATTGTTAACACCACTCACAATCTTGGTCTAGTTGTAAGAAATAATGAAGAATTATTTCTTTGTAATGTGACTTAGAACAACAACAACAACAACAACAAAAGATTTTCTAATTGGCCCATGGGTTCCATGAGATTATTATCTTACTGTTGCCACATTCTCATGATAGTGATCTTAGTATTTCTCACTCTTTTCCTGATCCTTCTCTTTTATTTTTTGTCTTAAAAATCTTCTTTCCTTGGATGTCTTGTTCTGCAATGGTCTCTTCAGTGGTGAGCATCAATGAGTATTCAAAACGTAACCTCTTTACCCTGCTAGTTTAACAAGGTTAAAAAAACAAACAAACACCACCAGTCTAGGTCAAATTAATTGGATGTGACTAGAATTGGCCCCCTTTTCTTACTATTTTAAGTATTACTGGAATAACAGTAGGAATCACTTAACCCATTATCAGAGACCAAAATTTTGAGATGTGAAGCAATTTACAAATCATTAGTATCTCCTGTTATTGCCATGTTAGATTGTTTTCTTTCTTCTAAGCCATGTTACTTACACTAGAAGTGAAACTGAAATTATGTTTATCCTTATAAGATATACAGCTAGTAGAGTTTTCAAAACCCATTTATCAGAGGGTATTGCAAAATCAAACTTCTGAGTGCTCCATAAGCATGAGGAATATAGACTGCAAGTCATCACTGGTACAATTTAGACATGTGCAATTAAAAGATAATGAGGCTGGTTTTGAGCTTAAGTAAAACAAAATGAATATAGTGGCTTTAACATAGTTTAGAAGTCATATTTTCTTCCAAGGTAGCATTAAGGAAGACACTATGTATAAATGTATATTTACATCTGTCACAGTAGAGAATATTTTTCTATTTTTTTCTATTTGCCTGTTCTTACCATGCTAAGTGTTTGCTTTACTGGTATTAGAAAATTATAAATATACCACAAATGACTAGGAACAGCTTTTAATTGCAGTTTTAGACATTATATTTCAAAATTTATAAAATTATGTCTTATATTGACATGCACATGACATTTAGTAATACATTTATTTTTTGATGCTGCCAAACTAAAACAAAATGCAGCTAATTTATATACTAGTGTGTCTGAAATTGAGTTTTAGTTTGACTATGACATATCTTTATGTAATAACCATCTATGATTATTATTTATCTGACATTTCTAGAACACTGTGTATTGCAGAGTGCTTTATACTTAATTTAGATAACTTTAACTAACCAGTATATGGACAATACTCATTATTAAGGCTAAGAAATAAGGTACCATAATTTTTTTTTCAGTTTTATTTTTGCTGAAGCCCAATATATCAAAACTCTGATAGCAAATACCATTAAAATCTGTCTCTGGGTTCAATGTGTGGTTTAAGCCATAATTTCTTTCTTAGTTCATAATGGTTACCCAGCAAACAACAGCTAAAATTCCTATTTTTGACATCCCATATTCTTTTGGTTGTTGTTGTTGTTGTTTTGATGGTCGTGGTGCTTGAGCTCTGGGCCTGCGTGCTATCCCTCAGCTCTTCAGCTCAAGGCAAGTGCTCTACCGCTTGAGCCACAGCTCCACTTCTGGTTTTCTAGTGGTTTTTATTTGAGATAAGAGTCTCACGGTTGTTCATGCCCTGGCTGGCTTTGAACCACGATACTTAGACCTCAGCCTCCTGAATAGCTAGGATTACAGGTGTGAGCCACCAGCTCCTGGCCCATATTCTTTTGATTATGTTTTGTCTCATCACTTTCAATGAATTGTTTAATAAATTTTGTTAAATACTCAACCACCAAGCAAAGAGTTATGGATTAAAACATCATATTTCATCTTGCATTAAGTCCTAATGATGCTCTTAGACATTGACTATATGTCTAAGTTGTAATCACCTTCAAATAATTGTTTCTATTTTTGATATAATATTCCTAGGAATCCCTTCTCATTTTTGGTTATGCACAATAACCTGACTATGTCCAATTATGACTACACTAGTTTCTGTTTAATGTGATCAAGTTAATTGAAGGGTACAGAGAATGCAATATTTCCCTTGCTGTCTGTTCCTAATGAAGTCTTTCACTACTGTATCACAATAATTCCAGAATGTTGAATGTTTTCTAAAGACCCCAAACTATCAGATACATTTGCAACTTTCCTCAAAAGATGTTAAGTTACAGTATTTGTCTAGATGTATCTGGTTTGCTCTTCCATCTTTTAGATCAAATGGTATATTATGGTATTTTATGAGAATGTAGAGGACATTTTATGCCTTCATGAATATACACACACACATATATTATATACCATATACTAGCACTATGTAGCCAATTATAACTTAATATTAACAACTTCATTGTTATGGAAATATAGAAAAGCAATGAGTAGCTAGGTGTGGGCATAAAATTAATCAGCACATCAGTTGCAGTGGCCTAAATTTATAAATAAGATGTGTGGGCTTAATCAGAAGAGCTGTAATTAAATAATTATATATTCATAAAATTAAATTCTACCTAGCAATGTTTATGAAATCATGGTGTGGAGCAGATGTTTTACCTATGATTAAGGAACTATTTCAAAAAATTATGGTAATAGATATAAAAATTATGATTCTTCATGATGGGCACTGGTGGCTCACTCCTCTAATACTAGCTATTCACAGGGTCGAGATCTGAGGATCAAGTTTCAAAGTCAGCCCAGGCATAGAATTATATGAGATTTTTTTTTTTTTTGGATCCGGTCGTGGGGCCTGAATTCTGGGCCTGGGCGCTGTCCCTCAGCTCTTCAGCTCAAGGCTAGCACTCTACCACTTGAGCCACAGTGCCACTTCCGGCTTTTTTCTTTTTGCTTATGTGGTGCTGAGGAATCGAACCCAGGGCCTCATGCATGCAAGGCAAGCGCTCTACCACTGAGCCACCTTCCCAGCCCTATATGAGATTTTTTATCTCAAAACAAACAAACAAAACAAAAGTAGGGTTGTGGCTCAAGTGGTACAGCACTAGTCTTTAGCAAACAAACAAAAAATCCTTAGGGACAGCTCCAAGGCTCGGAGTTAAAGAACCAGGAATGGTACACACACACACACACACACACACACACACACATGCACACACACACACACAAAACATACAAATTATGAGTACCCTTAACAGATGCTGACTGGGAGATGTCACAGGTGAACTTCTTATGGTCATGGAAATATTCTAGCAATATGATGATTAAACAAGTGTAGTTCAATGCAGTTAAGATAAAGATGGAGCCTAGTATTAATCTGAAATCTTTGTAATAAGACCTGACCATTTTCTTATGATTAATATCAATGTGTATTTACAGAAAAGTATACTAATTTCCCTTTGAATATATGGTGGTATGTTGTTCTTTCTTTTAGTGTCCTGAATTTAAAAGACCCAGGGACATTGCAGTTGACTGGGTTGCTGGTAATATTTATTGGACTGATCATTCTAGAATGCACTGGTTCAGCTATTACACCACTCACTGGACCAGTCTGAGGTATTCTATCAATGTCGGACAGCTGAATGGCCCCAACTGCACCAGACTCTTAACAAATATGGCTGGAGAACCCTATGCTATTGCTGTAAATCCTAAAAGAGGGTATGTAAATAGTCTAGTATTGATCTTTCAATGTGTGGGTCTGTTTTGTACTCTCTAGTTGTTTCTGTAATGTTTGACATGTAATGGAATAACAAGACTTCTGAAAAAGTCCATATTTCTCTCTTCTCTTTCTCACAAGCATGCCATTTCGCACCAATGATGACACAAAATACTTGTTTTCAGAAAATCTGTCATGTGATACATTCAGTGTGTGGTTGAATGTCTGCTTATGCCTCTCTCGTTTTATCGACATGTTACAAAATAATGAAGCTGATTGATAAACATGCAAATCTATTATTATTTTCTTAAAATACTAAATATACTCATGTTGCACATTAAATATACTCATGAAGTACATTAAATATACTCATGTAGTACATATGTATAAACAAATTTAAACAATGTAAGATAAACATTTCATTTCTAATAATTTAAGAAAGCTAATTAGAAACAGTGACCTAAACAGGATAGGAAATAATACATAAAATCTTCTAATCATCCAAAAGACATTAGTTCCTGAGTAAAAAGAGAAATGCCAGTTGCTAGAATTAGAGTCCGTCTCCTAAAGGAGTAAATGAATTCTATTTCAAACATTAGTCAACTCTTTTTTAAGAAGTATATTGGTGTAAAGTCCATACTAAAATGAACATTGTCATTGCGAGATATTTTCAAGTGATTGAAATATTTACCTACTAAGATGTTAATGATCTTTTTAAAACTCAAATTTGTGTATCAAATATTGAACCACGTTATATACAATTTTCAAAATTTAGAACAGTCAATGCTTATTTATCATACTGATTTCCATGGATCCTTATTGCTGTTTCCTAATTTGTGTGTTTTCAAATTGAGTCCTGGAATCCACTTATTAAAAGACCATTAAGAGACCTGGGAGTGATTCTGATCTGCAGATACAGAACCTAAGGGAGCAAAACCAGGTTACAACAGCACCATCACTAGGCTAACATCCTTAACCTACTCTCTTCAGGATGATGTACTGGACTGTCATCGGTGACCACTCCCACATAGAGGAAGCAGCCATGGATGGCACTCTAAGAAGGATTTTAGTACAAAAGAACCTGCAAAGACCCACAGGTAGGAGGTCTTTCTGACACATTCTAAATTGTGAAGCAGGATGCTATGCATATTAGTGTTCACATTTCATTCTGGTTTTGTTGGCAATACAATAATTTTTTTACAAGTTAGTAAAATAATTTGTAGTATGATTTTTATGGAAGGCACTAATATTTTGTGTTCTATTTTCCCAACTTGAGAGACAGGTTATTATCATACTTCCAGTTAGATTATGGGGTGTTATTTAAAAATGCCCTTGCAAGGCTATTAGTAAGATTTCACATGCATAAAAATTTGACAGTATATAGCAGTGTAACAGGGTATTTTTTACAGACATATGTAATGCTATGGGGATACACAATAATATTCTCAGAGGATGAAAGTGAAAATAGAAAAAAATGAAAGAATTTATAAGGTTTTATGACTCCTCACCTTTTTATAATACATCTTTTAAATAAGATTTCATTTTCCTTTTCCCTCCCCAAATTAGAGAAATGTATATACAAGATGCAGGGCACTGACATCAAATACAGTGAAAACAGGGGTTATACCATGGGGGAGGAACATACAAAAATAACAAAAAAATCACATGGGACATTATAAATACATTAGAAACAATAACAAGGAAGAAAAAAATATGTTTGTCCCTATCATGGCTTTCATTTCGCTTAACATCATCTTATATGGTCATATGACATAGCTTTTAACCTTTCTGCTTGTCCTATACATGTACTAGTTATTACAAATAAGGGAAACCATGGGACCTATGTTTCTTTGGGCCTGGCCTACTTCACTTAATATAATTTTTTCCAAGTCTTTCCATTTCCTAACAAATGGGGTGATGTCATTCTTTCTGATGGAGGCTTAAATAGGGATACAGGCTGACCCATTGTAACAATGATATGTACAAGACACAAGTCCATGCTGAAAATGAACTTTACAACTTTCACGGGGGGGGGGGGGGGGGGAGTGAGGGGGCGGGGTAGTTGTGGAAATGGGAGGGATAGGGATGGTAGGGGAATAACAAAGGAGGAGGCAACAATGCTGGAGAGGAAATGTACTCATTACCTTGCTTATGTAACTGTAACCCCTCTGTGCAGTATTTATACAATTAAAAAATACAAAAAAGGACTTCATTTTCCCATCTAGGTATATCATTGGAGTTATTATTTCTGACTCTGCACTATTTGGGACTCCTTGTCAATCTGCTTTCTCCAAGGAATTTATTCTCTTAACTCTCATTTGACCGCCCAACCAGTATTACCTTGTCTAGGATATTCATCCAATCCTGTAATGCCTAACAGTAACATTTCTTCAATAATAAAACCTTTGTAAGCTGCATGTACTTCAGGTACTCTGTACCTTCCACCCTGCCCATTGCATCCCATAAAAAGAATGAAATTTCTTTTTCTCTCTTTCTTTCTTTCTTACTTTTCTTTCTTCTTTTTTCATAATTTTTCTTTCTCTTTCTCTATGTGATCTATGTTAATTATAATGTGCAATATCTTTGTGGATTTACATTCACTGATATTTGATACCTTGTTCTCATTTCATTGTGACTTATGTCTTGTTACTCAAATAGAATTTTTTTCTCACTCCTTATTGTATAATAATTGGGTTTTGATTCTGGGCTTGCTTGACAAATACCCCTAGCCTTTTCTGCTTCTTTTTTATTTTTATTTTTTTTTCAAATACAGTCTTACTCTTTATGCTTCCTAGGTAGCTTTGATGATCAGTGCATATCACCATACTTTTTTTCCAGGCTAGTCTGGAATTGCAGTGAGCTTGGTTCTGCAGCCAGTGTAATTTATATATTATTATTTAAGCACCAGATTGAGGAAAGATATTCTACTATGGGAAATAGGTTATAAAATCATATAATGTCACAGAACCATAAGGGCAATAGAGGAAAACCTCACAGTAAAAAACAGTTAGTATTGATAGTCGTGACTGTTAGGATCCTCACTGAAATGTGGAAAATTGACATTTGTGGAGAGACTCAAATACAAAGAAATAAACCAAGCAGGTGAACAGATGAAGAAAGAGCTTCTCATGAGGAGAATGGAAAACTCTGAATTTGGAAAGAGAAGAGGGGGACAGGGTAACCAAACTCCTGTATTGCCAACTAAGGGCAAGACAGCTCTGAAAGGGTATGGAGATGGTAAGCAGCATAATGTGTCCCATACAAAATCTTCATTTTTAAACACTCCTATTATTTTCATTTTTTATTAATTTTGGACTCTATGAAGTAGGTGTGAAATTAGTTTATTTAAAAAAACTTAGATTTCATATTTCATATACCATGTATAATGTGTTTTCTTTTCAAACAATAACTATGGCATCAGTTTGCAGAATTGTCTGCAGAAGGGAACCTGACATGATCATTCTTTCAGAGGTTATTTATAAAGACATTGATATTTAGGAGAAACCTGGAAAAAGCTGGAGAGATTAGGGGAAAGCAGCAGTAAAACTCTTTCAAGTAAAGTCTAGTTTGGGTGTGAAGCTCCAGGGATGGAGCACAAACTTCATGCAAGGCATGAAGGGTGTCAGCTTTTTATTTGCCTCATCAGTCATTGGTTGACCTTTGGGCCTTGACTTCCCAAGCAATTGTACACCAATTAGGGGAGCACAAATGTCTGGAGAAGTGGTGAAGTGTAAGCCCTGAACTGCTAATGTGGCAACTGGGAAATGGTTCCCCAATGTTAGAAAAGGTATCTAAGAAGTTCCCACACCACTTTCTGTGGTGGACCTTATAAGATGAATGCATTTTCACTAGTAACCACTCTGCTCAGCACTAAAAGGGACTTGATAATGAATAAGGTATGATTTCTCAGAAAGTGCATATTTGAGAATGAAACAGATTGATGCGGTCTCAAAAGTAAGTGAAGATTTTGCAAAATGTGAGCTGTCTTTCATGCTTAACAATCTTATCAGAATTCAGAGAGAAAAAGTATCTCTCATACAGAAAATGAATGCATGAAAGGCATTACTTGAACAAATGCTTGAATAATGTGTAGGTATTTGAAAAATGGGCGGATAATAATTTATCATAAGACATTTTAATGAAGATGTCCTTTGGGTGTTAGAAATATCAGATTTTAAATTCCAACGAATCACTCATTAACAAGAACTCAGAATGAAGTTATGTTCAGAGTTTGGTTTCATCATTATTAAATCAAAGAACAATGATAAATAATACCGATTAAGTGAAATAGATCTATCCTTGTCGAAGGGCTCCAGTATAGAGCACTAAAATATGATTCAGAGAATAGAATTTTGTTGTGTTTATATTTATAAACCAGTTACTCAACAGAACCAGAGTTAAAAAGGGAAGTTTAAATACTAACAGGATTAGATGTGATATTTTAGGCAATAATGATTTGTCATGCAATTTTCTTTCAGTTCTTTGAATAAAGTATGTCTTTAGACATAGTATTTTGGTATAATTTGCCCAAAGTGATGAATAGACAAAGAGAAGCAAAATTAGCATAGTGGAATTTATGATGAGAAAGCAAGGGACTGAAAATGTATCCAAGTGGGATAGTCAATTAAAATCAGCCATCTTGTTTCCTTTTATTTAACCATTCTTGTTTTATTCAAGAAAATACTGAATGCTTGCTGTATACCATGCACTGCTATTCATAATATATATCATTGTATTTAATATGGATTCAGTAGCCTATAAAAGCAAAACCAAAAGTGTGTGTGAGTGTGCTTGCATGAATGCATGCATGCACAGCACAGTGTGCAAATGGCACTGACAGGCATGAGTGTCATGCTGCAGGATATCACTTTAATTACAACAGAAAGGAAAGTCTTTTAAACAGTTGGTTGTTAAGACTAGTCACTAAACCATGACAAAGTTAAGGATAGAAATATTTGTAATATAAAGTAAGAACATAGTTTCAAAGGCCTCAAAGTAGGCAGTGATGCAAAGTCAATGTGAGTAGGAAATAAACTCGAATGTGACATGAGATGAGGCTTGGATAATTGAGAAGGAGCTAGTCCCTAAAGAGTCTTGAGAACATTTACATGTTTCAGTGATTCATGTTAAGCAAGTAATGAGTTCTGGTCTGACATCTATCCATAGATGTCCGGGATGCTATGGGTGCAAGTTGTCTACCTCATGATTAGTGGATATGTATATATTTTCAGATCAGAATATTTGTTTGGAGAACTTTTGTCCCATTTACAGGAATAGCCTCTTGGAAGTCATCTACACACTCATTCATTTAATAATTAGTTTGTGCTAATCATAATTCTTGGAATTTGGCATACCAATACAAAATGCAGTGATAGGTCTCTGACTTTCTAGTCCCTCCTCCTAGTAGAGCATAGAGGAGTAAGGGAGAAAGTGTAGTAGTACCCATACCTGTAAGATCTACTAATACTGCCAGGTGCGGGTGGTTTACATCTGTAATCCTAGCTACTCAGAAGGCTGAGATCTGAGGATCACAGGTTCAGACAGGAAAGTCCATGAGACTCTTATCTCCAATAAACCACTAGAAGCCGGAAGTGGAGCTGTGGCTCAAGCGATAGAGCACTGAAGAGCTGAGGGACAGTGCCCATGCGCTGAGGGACAGTGCCCATGCCCAAAGTTCAAGCCCCACTACCGACAAAAAAAAAAAAAATCTACTAATTCCTTAAAACTAGTAATCATTCTGTCTATTCATAACATTTCATTTAGTATATTTTGTATATTTACTTAGTATATTTAGTACATTTTGTTAGATTATTTTCTCATTGTGCATCAGTTAAAATCTACAAGTCACATATGCCAGCTTTTATGCACTATTTTTTTCTTAGCTGAAGAAATACTACTTTTCTTTATAGTCATCTGCTAAATAAGTGACTTCAATTTTGGGAGGGGTTGTCGTATAAAGGCTTCACATATTCATGAGGTACAATAGGCCATAATTATCTCACTTATGAATATTATGAAGTTAGTATCTGAGAAGTTGAAAGTAGGATAGCAGCTATCTGAGATTCAGGAAAACATAAAGAAGAGTTTTGCCAATTGG